GTCAATGCACACTGCTCCTGTCTCCCATGGAGATCTGCCGTTAATGTTTCCATTGAGTGTATTTCTTCCACCCTTGTCACCCATTGCTGGAGGGTGGGTGCTCCCTTCTGTTTCCAAATAACGGGGATAAGGGACTTGGCTGCATTTAGTAGTGGTAGCATTAGGGACTTCTTGTATGCCTTTACGGGGGTGGGTGTGTGGTGTAGTAGCATCGTTAGGGGTTTGAGAGGCAGATCTGATCCTGTGACTCCTTGTATCTCCCCCCTGATTTTCTCCCAATATGGGGCAATTAGGGGGCATGTCCACCACATGTGGAAGTATGTGCCTAGGTGTGTGCTGCATCTCCAGCATGTGTCCAGTGTGTTCTCATGCATGCGGTGTAGGGTGTCGGGTGTTCTGTGCCATCGAGTTAATATTTTGTAGTTCAATTCTTGGAACTTCGAACTGATAGAGCATTTGTGTGTGAGGGTGTAGATCTTGTCCCATTCCTGTGTGGAAAGGGACTCCCCTGCGTCCCTCTCCCAGTGGTCCTTAAATCGGAGCACCACTTCCCCACCGGTCTGGTTCTGGAGTGTGGCGTATAGGGTCGAGATGCCCCTGGGGATGTGAGTTCTGTGTACGCACAGGAGTTCGAAGCTGGTTAGGGGCCTGAGCAGATGCCCACGTCCCGGCAGGGATTGGAAATATGTTTTTATCTGGTGGTAACGAAACTGTTCGAGCAGCATTGGCGATCTGTCTGGGCAGAGGTCCCTGAGGGGTTTAAGCCCTTGTGGGCCAAACCATTGGTGCAGATACATCCAGTTGGATGTTTGGAGGCTGTATAGCTCGTTATGGGTTAGGGCATTTGCAAGGTCTGGGTTGTGTGTGATGGGCGTTAGGGGGCTGGGTGAGGTGGTGAGCTGTAGTCGGTAGCGTGTGGCCATCCACACTTTCAGTGTGGCATAGACCAGGGTTTTTTTGGTGTGTAGGTCAGTGTACGTGGCGGTGTGCAGCCACAGTCTAGAGGGTATCGTCCTATCTGTCTGCTCTAGTTCCAGGGTCACCCATTGCTTCAAAGGTTGTTGCACGTGCCAGTCCGTTATTCTATGCAGGTGTGTGGCGCGGTAGTACGTCTCTATAGAGGGTAGTCCCGTTCCACCCATCAGTTTAGGCAGTTCTAGGGTGTTTTTTTCGTGCGGGTGGGGCGGGAGTTCCATACAAACCGGCGGATGGCGGTCGTTATGGAGCTGAAGAAGGCTCTGGGCACCGTGGTCGGCACTGTCTGAAACAGATAGAGTATTCTGGGCAGCACATTCATTTTGACCGCATTAATACGCCCAAACCACGAAATGTAGTGTGGGGACCATTTTTTAAGGTCCGCCTGCAGAGATTGAAGTAGCGGGAGATAGTTATGATGGTATAGTTGAGACGGGTCCTTGGGTAACCATATACCCAAATATTTCAGTTTGGAGTCGCACCACTTGAACCGGTACTGTGTATAGAGGTGTGCTGGGGGGTCTCCGAGGGGTGGTAGGTGGAGGGCCTCAGACTTGTCCGTGATGAGTTTAAGGTTAGAAATCGTTCCAAATTCTCGGAATGAAGCGAGAAGGTTGGGCAACGAAAGCAGCGGCTGCGTAAGTAAGAACAGCATGTCGTCCACGTACGCAGCTACTCTGTATTCATTACGACCTAA